CCCCCCCTACGTCGCGCTAATTAAATATCACCCGGCTAATCACTCGTCTGCACTCCCGTCTAAGTGAATATCGTAATTGCCGTGTAGGCGAGTCAGTGTAAGCGACGCTCGACGTATAGCACAGGGTAAGCGCCTACAGGACAAGTAAAGAGCATTTTCCCCGGCGGGAGATCGAGGGATTAATTTAAAGGCGGGATAGCGCGACGCTCGTGGTAGCGACGAAAAAGAATTTCGTTCCATTAGGAAGATACCGAAACGCCGGGCCGTAGAGCGAACCGACTAACTAACGGGTGTCGCGCATCGAAGATTCGTAAGACGCCCGAACGAGGTCAAAGCCGCGCTTACGATAGGACAAATCGCTCTTGAACGCGAGACCTTCGAAGCTGGATAAGTAAAGACGGCTGCAGCTTGCGGGATATGAAGCTGCGTTCACATCGCATCGGCAGGACACGACAAGGCCCGAGTACGACTGTATTATAAATTGATATCTTATTGCCGGTTACTGCTGACGCCACTGCTATTCACTCCTGGGACAAGTAGCCGGTGGTTAGAGTCTGTTTAGATTCAGAGTCACTCTGGCGTAACAGAACGCAGCCGTAACCCAATAACAGTGGTGGCGTCGTAGCAGTCAGGACCGTAGATACTGGGGAACGAATAAATAACATTAAAAGTATATGGGAATGACTAACCGTGCTCTGGATGCAAGTCAGGCTCGAGCAAGGACAGACAGTGGCAGTAGTAACTGGATGTACTGGACGGGCGTGTAGAACCGCGATCCGACGGAAAAAAAAAACATTAACAGCAGTAGCAGCCAGTACCGAATCAGACTGAATAACGGTAAGCAAGATTATACGGATACAGGATCGTCCGGCATAAACGTATAAGATTTGACAGACGCGAAGTCATCGTTCACGTTGGTCGTCGCTTGACGATATTATTCCTACGTTTCCAATGAACCGCCTGCAGTACCGTGTACCGTTCCACTGTACAATGCCGTACGCGCTGGTAACAAATGGGAGACGAGCGAAAGTCGTGCCATTAGCGTAATACCATTCTGAATGCAAGTCAGGATTTGACAAGGACAACGAACGGTATTCGTATATTGGCTGTGTTCGGACAATTTCAAATAAATGCTGAAGGGAATTCTTGCGAATTTACGCGACGGCGAGGTTGCAGTCGATGCTGCTCGGTAATTAAAGGAGGACTGTCGACAGTGTTCAGGCTGCACAAGGCAATTGGTATACCCCTGACACGAACAATGGACACACTGTATACCTATAGGTGACACGTAATATCAGTAGAGCTAGGCGTTGGTAAGACTTGAGAACAGTGGCTAAAAACCCACAGGCATTGTCAACGAAAAAGTCATCGATTAATCCGAACACTGTAAACGGTATATGTATAAAGTATAAACGATAAAGCCGTGAAACGTTGGTTTACGCGTGCTAACCAGCCTTGGACAAATGAAGAATGGAAAGACGGTAAAACCGAGACAAAGTCAACGGAAGATACTGTCTCTGTAAAATAATAGTTTAACATTGGATCTGCTTAGCGCTAACTTCGTTAACCTTATGGCAATTGGACATAAACTTAAAAACTGTACAATCTCGTACCCCGTAGAACATTCGATTGGGCGTGGTTTCAATGTGGAAGTTGGGGTGAGTTGATTTTTAAAAAAATCTCTTGATTGGATCCACTTGTGTTTGCTATTAACATGAACAGGGTATATATTTGCCTATGGTAAAATTGATCGTACGCCATACGCGTACATAGGGCTACGGGTACTCGAAAAACTTTTTCAATCCGATTGTACATGTACATCGGACGCTCAGTGTTTACACTCGGTTTAGTGCGACGGTACTCGCAAGCGATTAGCACTGCGCCCGTCGTTAGCGCGAACGGACGTTTTCGTGCGAGCGCGCAAACCGTCTCGTCCTCCTCGTTGTTTCCGAACCGTTTGACACCTTCGTAAAAAGGACAGCTACTCCGGTTTTCGAGCACGGAGTTATTACGATTCGTATACGGACGATAAACGCGAGTAAAGGAAAGAGAGAGACGGAGAAACGCACGTATATGGCATCGAACGAAAATTTTGGCAGGACGATCACGCGTGTTATTATTCGTATTCGGAACGGGAATGCCGAATGCAAGCGAGCATTTTATACGTTAGCACGAACACGAAAATTGATATGGCGATTCCAGAGGCAATTGTCAGCGCGCAGCTACGCATACGCGTTTTGCGCGCGGCTCCGAAATCCCTCCGACGTACAATCACTCGAAATTGGATAATACACGTACGACAGGGGGCATGACGGGTAATCGTGGAATTGGACGTGTCCATAGTGAAAACGCTAACCCGTAGTACCACAATGCATCGCGAGAACCCCGCTTCGATCTATAGGCGAAGCCACAGAGTCAAAAGTAGAGTCGACGAGAAAATATTATATGGCCAAATATTAATTTCGCGTATGTGTGATAATGACGGCTGATAACGAGATTCGTATACGCAGCCTTACGTAATGGGAGAGTTAAGAGAAAAAAATTGCACGTCTTCTCCGCAAGATATCCCGGTAGAAATTAATGGTTAGTCGATTGGATTTATCGATCGATCGATCGGATTTAATACCAATCGAACATCGTGACATCTGGGATGCGCTTACTGGTTGACAATTTTAAGCCTTTCTCGACAGATATCGCGGCATTAGATGTCCGGCTTGGTGTTGACTTCTATATATATCTGTGTGTGTGTGTATATATATATATATACAGCCGTGTCAACTGATTACACGGAAATTGGACTCACCTCGGAGTTGCTTGTCGCCACGCTGGATAATCCAGGTGACATGGCACCGGTAGCAGGATCTGGACTCGGCGCCATCGGATGACCACGACTGTGGGGTAGGAGCCCGGGCGCGTGTGGGTATGACGCAAGATGAGGATGCTGAGGTGTCGGTGGATGAACGGCTGGTCCAGGTGGCGCGCTTTGTACCCCCATAGGCGGCATATGCGGGGGGCCGGTATCGGAGGGCGTGCATCCACCTTCGATGACAGGACCGATGACGCCTTCGCTACCTCCGCCGCTGCTGATGATACCGGTCGTTGCGTCATCGATTCCACCGGCACGAAAGGACTCGTGCAAGTACTGTCGCACTTGATTCTTCTGCTTCTGCACTACGTGGTAGCGCGTTGGATTCTCGAGGAGGGTGCGAACCTTGAAAAAGAAAAAAAAAATAGTATCAGTAAATTGATACGCAAAATTATCGAACGTCCAATTAATTATGCCAATTAAGTGCGACCGCGTTGGTTATTTATGATATACTAATATTATTGCCTCTTAACGATTACATTATTACTTTTTATCGGTCGGTAATGATAATACCACTATCTGCTCTTGTCCCTGTGCACTTACTATGAATCATACGTAATTCATTCGTCGATGCTGTAAAATTTATTTTAATTAATACGCTACCTGGAATTATCGCGATTTTTGGTACACAGGTGTATTTGTACTATCCGATCGCGCTGGAAATACCGATCAGCATTTTCAGCGTCATTCCTGTATACGGTGACAGCTGTCGTCAGTCATCCGTGACCTGAGATACTATCTGCAGAGAAATCCGCGAAACTCAGTATACCAGGGGCGAGGAGAAAAGAAAAATAATACCACGTGGAATGTCAATGAGAATCAAAATGGAAATACGGAGAAGAAATTTTCATACGTTCCAGGTTACGGTCGCTTGCGGATCCGAAGAGTATAGTGCAGGAGAACTGACGGAGAATTGGATATACGTGGTGTTGCTCGTAAAAAAGAAAAAGAAAGAGGAACTTTTTACGAGCAACCTCCATAAAAAGATCTTGTCCAAGTTTAACGGAATATCTAGGCTAAAGGCATATCGCGAGACATACATATATTGCAATTAATTAAATGACAAGGGAAAGATAGCGCGAGAATATTAAATATTCGTGTAACTTGTGATCCGACGCGCGAAACGAGTGGATAATATAAAAAAAAAAGTTTAATCACTAAAATGCGTAACTATCTGTAGGTATATTACACTGGCATAAGTAAAGAATCGTATAAGATTGTATAATGAGAGTGACGGTGACTGTACCTACCTGTCAGAGGTATGTAAATTCGAAGAATCCTGAATAAACTAATTTACTCTTTGTCGATCGAAAGCGTTTCGTATTTGATGAAATAACGATTATCAGGTTTGCTCGAGCGAATAGAAATAAACAGGAGGACTTTCGCGATGACTCCACAGCTCTGTACGCAGCTTGCAGATAGATTTGTCACGATTGTTTATCGAAGTAAAAATGGCGAGACTCGCCGTGACGATTGTACGAAAGATATATTCTTGCGTGTCAAATTCTACGTGCACAAAGCGTCTGATCGGGGGTTATCGATACGTCGTATTTGTATAAAAAGAAAATATATTTACCGCTGCGAAATAACGGCCATAATGAAAACACTTCGCGTCTCGCGGTAACGTATTTTCAATCCAACGTGGTTCTTTCGTACGATCGATGACGTTTCGAATTCGACCTAACCATAAATCTAATGATATACCGAGCTACAAATATAGAGCGAGATTATATTAATGTCAAATAGAAAACACAGGAGCAAAATCTTCTAAGATAGTATGTACAAGTACACTATGAATCATTCGTTACGACGCTTCTAACGATGGCTATGTCAGTTCGGGTATTTCCGTGACACTTCGGGCCCAGTGGCAAATTCCATAAGACAGAAGCGTTCCTACGTCTGGGATATGGTAGGCAGCTCCGTCGGTAAAATCGCGTTCTACTTTCTCGGTACGATTCTTAACACAGTCCAAGTTCGCCGACGGATGGACGCAACGCCAAGGCATTCCGAGCGTAGTGTCAGTTTTGTAGCAGCGCTACCTTTAAACTCTCTGAATCCTACAGGCGCACGTGCTTAACTCGTCTGATTCTCTGTGGCTGCCTTGAATTTTCTTACCGATGTTTTTCGTGGTTAACACCTCACCCTGATCACGAGGATCGAACTGTCGCTTTTCGACATCGTCGACGCTCGACGTAGACTCTGCCACCTGACGGCAACTCATGAACAAACATTACGATCCGAATGTTGCACAAGAGTTCGTGGAAAAATCATCCAGAATCATTATTTCTACAGTAGGTGAATTTACGAGTTATTTTTTTTTTTTTATTAATTTTCTTGGATACGAGTGACTAATCGTTCTTGGTTATGTGCGTATGTATATATATATTATATCTGCTAATAATAATAATCGGTATCTCAAAGTCGCCTTTATCGATGACTATCGACTATCGAATTCGAATACTCGACGGATATTAAAGAGTCACAAATAAAATGTATTGTACCAAACGAACGTGACGCATTGCAATTGATGCACGATTAAAGTGCAGCATCCTGAATCCGGTATTTATTGCCGGTCGATATTCAACGAATGAGATTAAAAAGGCTACCGCGTCCTTGTAGCACAACGTTCAGTTTTTTTCTTTGTCGGAGACAATTTTTTTCTGTGTTTTTTGTTTTCACAATCATCGACACGCGACCGAATATATTCATGCTCCAGTTTCACTAAATTGTCCAGGTGAATGACCTCGACTTTACAATCTGTATTTCTGTGTTGAATGACGTAATAAAATCTGCCGAGTCTTCTTCCTACACCGATGCTCTACTTGTTTGCCTATGTATATTTATATTTTTTTTTACTTATCAGTTGACACATTTTTTTGCGACTGATACGGGGTTGAACTTTGACCGTGAAAAAGAAAAATAGCAAACGTAAAAGTCATTAAAAGCTACAAACGAGTATCAAAGAAGGCACACTTAGAGGACCTTAAATCTATCAAAAAGTCGACGGGAGACTAGAATTCAATTTAAAAGTACCAAAGTCAATTTAACGTTCATGAATTCAAAATTCGAATCCGGCTATCTTGAGAATTTCCTTTTAAGTTATTAAAGGTGGATGAGGGGAAGGGTAATGGGAAGAAGGGCGGAGGAAGGGAAGTTATTTTGATCCAGACAAATTATTATGCGCCTCATAAAAAATTACGAAAATCAGTAAAACATTGAAAACTCAAGGCTTAATGCTTTTGCGTCATCTATACGAGTGATGGAATTACTGTTAATTATTACTATAGTGACATTCGTGAATCCATCGTAGATTTTTGAGGTTAGAAAGGCATCACTGTAGAATCTACGTGTTCGATACAGGATCCGGCATGAGTCACAGGAGTAACTATAAAGTTTTAAAGAATTCGTAAAACTCGGCGACAGCGATATTCGCGGTAGAGGTGTAACTCGAATAATCTTCGTTCAGCGCTATCTGGTGGTGCGATTTCGAAATAAAAAAAGCCATTTCGTGCGGACCGATTTCGGATCGTTTGACTTTTGTCTGGGTAACAGCTTATCTATGATTAGCATCACAGGACTCGGCGGATAATCAGAATTTAGTACGAAACGAAAGTAGATCCTAGGATTTAATTTCTTTTCTTTTTATCGTCATTTTACTTATCCGCGTCCATCGATTTTTCGTCTCGAGTAAAATCTTATGGAATATTAAGAATCTATTGGTATTAAAATTTTTGCTTTTCCTTTTACTTCTTTAATCCTAGCAGTGCAACGGACCTATCTGGCTCGAGTGGAAAATTCAAAAGTCCTGTCACGCGATGGGGTTCCGAAAGGCCTAAAAAGAGAGGAAACAAAAAAAAAAGATGATCATTCAATTTTCAGGGCTTTTGTTCGCGGTCACTTTAAACGTCACTTTTTCGATCGGGAAACTCCACGTGGCTCTAACTAACGAAAGTGGCTGCGAATCTTTATTCGATTGGCGTCCTAAAGAAATGGTGTATTGTTTATGCATTGTTTTTCCTAAGCGCCGCCATAGATCGAACGGTGGTGACGTTAAGACGTGCGTGATAAAATATGATTGACATTAGTACGCGAGGCGGTGCGCGCTATTAGTTTGTCATTACACTTGAAAGCAATGGTGCAATGGAAGTGCCAGAAACGAAGAGGCGAATATGACGAGGAAGAAGTTTTCCGACTTGTACACCAAACGTATGTGAAAGTGAAAATGTATGGGGAAAAAAGAAATGAAAAAAAAATTTTGTAACCACAAGAAGTTCAGTTATGGTATAAGTTGGCCGGTAAATCAAGCGGTTGACTACGGGCTCGCTTAAATGATTTACGTTAACTGGTAGCACTGGCTTAACTGCCCGTCACGATTTTAAGCGACACTCCACATTGCTTGGCTCGCGAATTAATGCCATTCGAAATAGCCAATATTAGATAGAATTACAATGACCATTACGTAAGGGAATAATAGCCACAAAGTTTACGGTCAACCACAATAAGCCCGTTACACATTTAATAGTACCCTAGAGGCTAATAAACCCCGAGGGTGAGTATCAATTTATTAGATAAAAAGAAATATCGAAAAGGATTTTCGTACTCGAGCAATAATTAATTAAAGCGAATTTAATTACTAGATCTCCAATAAAAATTGTTCGTCTTACTGGTAATTTCTGTAAATTATATAATAATACGATCGTTATACTAACACAATTTAAAAATATACAGAGATAGATAATGTTTATCTGAGGTAAACATGGGTTGTGTAATTTTTTCCTCTTCCACATTACCTGCAGCACTTGAGGTGGTACGTCTACGCCAATGGTTGGCAATGGCGTAGGGGGTACCGGTCTTGGCGGCGCAGCGGCTGGTCTCTGTTGTTGCAAGCTTTGCCTATATTCAGTCTCTCTTCTCTCTTGCTCCTGTAGCTGTTCTCTCATAAGCTGAAGCTTGAGCTGGGTCCTGGAGGTGGGCGTAGCCGTCTTAAATGTCGGCGGACTGAAAAGTCAAATTGAAGATAAGTAAGAATAATTTAAGGAGGAAGGAGACGATTAAGAAATATTCAAGACATTATAATCGCCACGAAATTCTGGATCGCCTAGTCGTAAATTAAACGTATTAGGAAAGGAATGAGTTTTCGGAAGAAGAATAAATACCGAAATTATTCGAATGATATTCTCATATTAAGCCAGAAAGCTGAAGAGCCCAGAGAAACGGAGAGGAGACATTTCGTTTTGTACAAACGTTAATTCCTAACGTCTATACGCGATTTGTACTAATTCGTATAAAAACTGCCGCAAGAAAACTCTGATGGTTAACTATAGCGAGAATGTCGGTAAAGTAGATCTCACGGTTTATCGGTCGATCAGTTCGCGATCATAACATGAGATAGCGCTAGCAATAACTTCATAGTTCCGCTATTACCGTATAGAAAGAAAAAAAGAATTGATGACTATCCTTAATCACTAGATACAACTCTGGTGAACGGTTCCTCGAATTTTTTAGCGAATCGCGGCACTTTCCACCCATTCTCGATGACGTACGCATCAGCTTTCAAATAACGAGGGAAACGCGAGAGCAATGATTGGCACGAGCGACAGTCCAAATGCACAAGACGAAAGGAGGTTATGTATACAGTCTCAACAGTATCATAGAATCTGAGCGGGTTACTGATTCAACGAAACATAAAAATTCACTGCCTCCGACCTTATTAATTCTCAAAATTATCAAAATGCTGCTATACGTCATTGAGCATTAAATCAACGTCGCCTAAGAACAATCTGGGAACAACGCCAAGACCTATAGAAGGGCGTAAATAGAATTTCGTAATTTTTCTTAGACATTATTTCATATCCATCGCAAAGATTGCCAAAGAACATGCCAAGTCGAGAATTATTAAACTAAACAACAGCTTTGACCTAGCCCAGACTCTTAACTATCCAGCAGGTAATACCGTTATCATAAAAAAAAAAAACCGCCATGCCGTACATCAAAAAATTGTAAGGCGATATCTTTCTTTCTCCACAAAGAACACGTGCAAGACTTACGACCCTTTGACGAGGATAAGACGGACAAGCATAACCATAATATCACGGTGGCATTTAGAGTAGTCCATGCCAGTTCGCAAAAATACATAGGCACAGACCAGGCCTGGGAAACGGTAGAAGGTCGTGGCGACCGAGACGCAGGGTCTAATTAAAGAATTCAATGCCACGGCGTTTAAGCCGACGTCGTCGCTGCTGAAATCAACTCGATAAACTCGAACGCACCGGTTATAGAAGTTTGCGCGTTACTGTCGCCATCTTTGTTTCCGTCAGCGCATTACCTTTTTAACGTATCGCTATGTAACTATCCAACCGTATTACGCTCTACCGGATTTTTTCCGAACTACGCTACAGTCTTTCACGTGTATTCCTGTGTACTCTTCGCTCCGGCAGTGTCTTCCTCTGCTAGTACACGGAGAGCAGTAACTCTGTGAATCGGTCCGTGCACTTGCGTACTATTGTATACACGTACGTTACATGCATCTGCATACCCCGAGGCGTTTCTATGCATCGTCTCTATACCAAGTTCCACGTGCATAAAGTCGCTTGCGTCTCTTTGTGCGTTTCCTGTATTATCCTTACATCCACGATTCCAGAAACTCTTGGACACATCTTTGTATCTTCTCTGTGAAGCAGACAGAACTAAGGAGAAACAGAAAGAGAGCTCGTGAACGAATCGCAGTGCCTTATACACAGTGGTACGTGAGTTAACGAGTCATTTGAAAAGGGAAATATACGTGCGCGCTAAGATATCGTGGATTGCTCTAAATGGTAAGACAAATGAAATATTTATCGGGTAAGAACGTCGATTACGAATCTAAGAGGGCGATCGCGATGCTTTGTATTCGGTTGGGTAGGATCGTTGGGATTTCAGAGGTGGGACGGAAGAGTGAATTTCAAAAAATAATTAAACGAGTAGTCTCTTCCCTTTGGAGGTTAACGTCAATTTAGTTCAGTCCTACGAGTAAATTGAACGTGCTGGGGCTATTTTGGCTATAGGGGGGGCAGGAGGGGGGTTGAAGATAGCTGGGACTAATATCTAGTCTCTCTTGGAACGTCTATAGATGTTTAGCTTTGTAGGAAGGTACCGTAATTCCGAATTTACTGCTTATATAAGGTCGGCAAGGAGGGCAGGAAAGGACTCGACGGGAATGGAGAAAAGGAAGGTTAGAATCGCTTACGGCAGGTTTATGCAAATTACTCGTTTGCATCCAGCGACCAAGCTAGCTGGTTCCGTGGCTGTCGGAAAGTTTAAGGTCGAATATAGAGGGAGCTCCCTCTAGCTTTTTTGGAAGCTACTTACGAATTTACGAGTAACTTTCCCGCACGGTGGTATGTCTTACGCGAAAGGGGACGGACGAAGTAGATATCAGACTAGGAAGAAAGCGAGAAGAAAAAATCTGATATCTTGCCACTTTACATGTTACACCTCCTACGTGAGACGGGGTAGAAATATATTTTTCCTCTTATTTACTTTTCTTCGGATTTTGTCTCTTTATAATGCTCGAGCGCACTTGCTCCTGTTCCTTTTGTCTCGTCCAGTATACGCTGGGTCGGATGGCTTGTTATCGTTGAGTGCGATAGAGAGGATCTTACAACTGGGACGTGTGTAAGGAAGGAATAAGAAATTAAATGATACTATCTTGTATTTAGAGAATAACAATAAGTAGTATACCTATTATTTTGACATGAAATTTTCCGATCAGAATAAAATTTGAGTAAAACCTAACAAATTTAATGTCTGATTTTATTAATTAAATATTCCGTCCCCCTACCCCTTGTCCCTTGAATTAATTGTATTTATATTATCAGAGACTAATATTTTACTGACTCCCGCAAATTAACGAGATCGTGCCATTTAGTTTTCACGCGAAATTCTAACGGACTTTACAAATTCAAATTTACTGACTCACAGTAGTGGAGGGCAATTTGTATTGCAGCACGTGTCCCCGACCTAGAGCAACATCGATAGTAATTTATTTCCTAAAGAATCAAGTAATCAGTGCTAACCTCCATGGAGGTGAAATTTCTTCGAGTTTAAAAAAAAATCGATCACTTTATGCCGAATTTAATGGGCTGCAGCTCATTCCGCGGAGAGACAAAAGGCGCGGGAAAAACAGTTAAATTCAAAAGAGTCAAACTGCAATGTGTCAGCATTTAAATATCGAGTTACGTCCACCCGTCACTCACGTGCTGTGTTTATGCCAGACGTAGTTGGGAAAAATGATGGATTACAAAAAGTCTTGTCAAAAACAAATTTTTCTACCATACAAAGAAATACATCGGCTCGTCCGCCTACACTGTAGTGATGGTAAGTACGAGAAAAACGTGCGCGAATGGTAAAACAGTATTTTTAGGTCGAAGGATAAAGGCCATCAAGGATGTCGAAGAACATTTTTCGAAAACGTGTAAAACCAAGAAACAACGGAAGGACGAACGAAGTAGACGAAGTTCTATGCAGACGTTAATAAAATTTTGAAAAAAAAATTCAACCTTATCAAATCCTATCTACGACTGGCTTCGAGTCATAACAATTACGTTACTTTCCCTAAACTTTCTCTGGCCACTCTCGACGTCGTTTCCACAATGAATGAAAAACATACGAGCGGAACGTAAAAACGAATAGGTTTTTTGTTCACGAGGTATTAATTTTTTATAAATTTGAAAAAAAAAATCACGATCAAAGAACAGACGAAACAGTGACTAACGGTTCAACGAAGTCTAGTAAGTGTACTGATAAGAGAGAAAAAAATTTTTCGAGTTGCGTCACGACAGTATATCCTTAAAAATGGCCGATGACGTCTATAAGGTGGATATCAAAAGAATTCAAGAAAAGTTTTTGCAAGCTATGCCTGAACTTATGGCGGCTAATAATAACGCACGTAATAGAAGGCATAAGCAACCAACGTCCTGGTAGGGTATGACAGTTTCTTTATGCGAGAATAATAGAAAGAATAAAACGTGGGTATAAATAGTGATGAATCTGAGAATTCAGAGAATTGTAGGTTAGGTCGACCGGACGATAAGTCGCTAGGAAGTAAACTATGTATTTAAAATGTATAAATAGCACAATATTTTCCTCTTCACTTTGACAACCGTTTCCACGCGTTCGAGATGAAGGAAGGAATCTGCATCTTGGCAAATATGTAACATAGTTGCGGTTGGTATCATAATAAAAAAAAGTGCAATAAAAATGTTTTTTTTTCCCTCACATTCACGAGCCACTACGAGAAAACCTTTAATGGGTCGTGAGAGTTCGTGTTTGACGGGAAACTAATCTCAAAGGAAATTTTAATTTGAGCTTACAGTAAAAAAATTTCTTTCTAACGACTTGTTCCTGAATACCAGAAACGTATTAATTGAAGCAAGTTACTTTTAATTGCTGAGCACTCAGGATATTAAGCAATTCTAAGTTAAGTTTTTTCTTACAATTCTTATGATTACGGGTTTGAAGTGTACGAGAAAAAAGTGCACGGTCGTCTTTTTAGGTAAATTTGATAAAAAAGACTTACGTAATACGTTATTTATAATATTTCGTGCTGTTGTGCAAGATGCAAATTTGCAATAGCGTTATGACCTTTGTTATAATAATAATGGATTAATTAATTAATTAAGCTGTAAGAAATTACTACCTGGATGTTATGACCAATCCAATATGGCGACTGGTAAAAATAAATAAGTTTCAGATATGAGCATCTTTAGACGTCACGACAATAAAACTCCAGACGCGACTCGTTCGTGTCCTTAATGCATAAAACTTCTTAATGCACGGATCGAGGTTACGTGTTAAGTAATCGGGATCGTTTAAGACATTGATTGTATACATACATGAAATGAATATTTTGAAAATTTAAAAAAATGTGTAAAAACAAAATTCTAATAATTTAGATTCAATAGATAATTTGGGATGCCCTGACGGGAAACAGCTATTCTGCCATATTTGTATTCCGTAATCAAAATTTGTATTTAGTAAAAAAAAAAAAAAAATTGAAAAGAAGATTAATATGCCAGACAAGTAGAATCTTTGTAGTAAAATATCTCACAGTTCAAAGAGAACATCGAAAAGGACGTAGCTGTCACTTGCAGTGGTTTTGTTGTGACAGATTGAGAACCGAGCAGCGATACACGACACGTCTGAAAATACCATGCGTTACGTCCAAACACTAATCAGTATCGAACAGCAACATCGGTAGAAACTGTTGAAAAACGAAAAAAAGAAGGATAAATCAAGAAAAAAAAATGAAGAAACGACAAATCAAGAAAATTCATAAGGGACAACGAGTCGAATCTTAAGAAGCCTAGAAAAAGACCGTATGAATAAACCATAACGTTAGAAACTCGGCATAACCTGAAAAGTGCTCACGGTCAAAAAAGTGGGGAGCGGGGTGGGAGCGATGAAAATAAAAACGGTACAGAATGTTGGTAAAAAAAATATAAGAGTGGGGATGAAGTCCAGTTCGGAAAGATCCATTCGTAGAATGTTGCGCAGTACAAAAGCGATACTCGTGGCGCGTGTAGCCAGCCAATGGCTGCCAACATAGTCCCTCGAAGACTTTTCAAGCACCCAAAAGACATTCCGTCCGCGTAAAGCCGTTAAATCTCCCAGCTAGGCCAAGTAGCGTGTGTCGACTTATACTAGGTCGGTGAAGTATATAAAGATTAGGTTAGGTTACGTAATATCGAAAGATAACGAACATTAGGAGCTAGGTTAGTCGAGCAGTCCAGTACCAGCCTTGCGGTCGTGTGGCGCGCGGCGGCCGCGCCAGCGTCGCGTGGCTCGGCGGAAGCGTCGCCGATGGGGTCGCCGACGGCGGTGGAGGCCTGTCGACGATAGACGGATCCATTTCCAAGATCATTCGCAGGTCCTCGTCGATTCCAAGATTGACGCGCACGTGTCTCTCGGAGGATGATGATGACGAGGGTACGGACGCGTCCTGGGTACGCTCCTGGTAAATGCCGCGCGCGTTCTCCAGGAGAGTGTAATCGGTGCCAAGGTGAGAATAGGAGCTGGAGGATGGTGGGGATGGGAACGTCTGACTCCTGATCGTCGTCACGTCCGGTGGTATCGTCGTTCTCGTAACCGATGCGCAGCTCCGATCGGTACCGTTAATACGGTCCAGGCGCGCCACTAGCTCTTCGAATTCGCCGATCTGACGTGAGACTTCGGCCTGCATATCCGCGGCGTCCTTCCTCGATCGCTCAACCCGAGGCGTCCCGACGCTACTAAAACGAGCCGAGGACCAACACGTCGCGACTGGCTCACCGACGGACGTGGCTCTGCCCTGACGTGTAGCGACTCGTCCGTTACGTCGCAGGCCCGGTCGGTACGTCGGACCCTTGACACCTTTTTCTGTTTTACCGACCTAGTTTAGACACTACGAATCACATTTGACGTACCTACTGATCATTGTTTTGGACAGAAGGAATGCCTTCCGATCTACCTACCGCTATAGTAATAACAGTGACGCGCTTATCATGACGTAGGAATCACGTAGGGGAACGTCTAGCCTTCGGCATTTACGGACTTCAAGTTCTCGTGTTCCGGATCGCTGGGGTTTTTCTGTCGCGCTGATAAGACGGACGGGCAACCCCCTATCACAGGATACGCCGACTTTGTCGTCCTTGGCGAAAGATTAATTATTTTTATTATTTTCAACTGCCCCCTTTTTTTAACCATCCGCTCCTGTTATCATTTCGTACGCAAACTCGCGGCGCTATAATTAACTTCGGAAAATTCCAAAGTCTTCGAACCTAACCTAACGGTATTATTGAGGTTGCAGCGCATTTCTCTCTTATTCCACCTTCTCGCGACCAATATTCTCGACTGTGAACGAGACAGCAGCTTCTGGCAAATATTCAATACTTTTCGACGTGCCGCAATTTTACGATCGCGCTCGCGTGCCACGAATCGTCTGGCGGCACACGTGTCCAAGTAATTCGAGACCGTTGTCGCTCAAAATAAGTAGGGGAAAATTTTCAAAAAGACAATCGCTATCAGTAAGAGTGCGTAAACTGTATTATCTCCAACCTCACCAAAGGACTTTATCCTTATACAGGCTACAAATATCTCGAGATGCACAATCTACTATAAAACCAAAAACGAAATTTTTTTTAATTCCAAAAAATCCCAGCCCCCCCTTTCTAACGTTAACCTAAATTAGCGCTTTGCCGTTATTAAGTAAAACGAGCATCGTGCGTGGTGTCGAGCGAATTTCGTGTCAGTCAGCAGCCAAATAAAGCACGATTCCCACCCGCAAATTTATTACCATTTACAGGCTATACAATACATATCTATATATACATCTCTAAGAAGATGCACAAGTCGAGCCACAAGAGTGTGCTCAGCTGCTAACGCAATGAATAACTTTCACAATTGTAAACGAGCCTGCACTCTAGTAATTCCAATTAGAAAATATTCCGATATAGTTGCGGTACTGTCTATTGGCATTCGTTCGGATTTCGTTGCCAACCTAACCTAACTAACCGCCACCCCGTAGTATCGACAGAGTATTAAAAACCCGAAGAAAACCTCGGGCAATCAACACAAAGAATAACCAGTTAAACATTTAATCAAACAACATTCCATACCTACATTTTCAGACATCTAGTAAAATCTCTATTCAAAAATCAGAATTACAAAAAACTACCGAGCGACCGCCAACAGCCACATTGTCGGCCATATTGAATTGTACTGCAGACTCCCATTGCCGTACGACAATCCGTTTAATCAGCGTGTATAGATGGCTTAAAGGGCACGAAGTCAAAAATTTAAAAAAAAAATGGCAACCGCCTTAGGCCAAAATAAAACTCGTCTCATTGCGGTAACGAGGAAAAACCGGTTTCAGTGAGATAGGCTATCCGTAAATTTCACAGGTATCCCCATTGATATTGGTATAGCTTTTGTTGTGATGTGTCTTGTGGGTGCGTCGCACGGCGTCATTCGCAACGTGTAGTCGTCACTCGCCTAATAATCGGCCTGGGCCGATCGGCGTCAAGATATCGCGCGTAGTCTCGTCGTTTTTCCAGGGCCGTTACGTAATAACCGCATTCGGCTGAAAATATTCCACTGGTTTGTCAAGCGATCCGGGAGGGCCGGAAAGTGAGAATATAAAAGCAGCGAGACAACGTACGGAAATATTGTACCTTTGTTTTTATAGTCAACAGTCATTAAATGTTTTGTACATTGATTGCATGTGCCGTGTGAACGCGGCATAACAAAAAGAAAGGGAATCTTAAGACAAGTAAAAAATGGGCCTGTGAAAATTGTGAGTTGATTCTGTTAAAAAAAAAAAATAATAATAAAAATAAATCATCCGTGTCATTGATCCAATTAGAAATTAAAAATATCACCAAGCTGCGTATCACGATTAGTTTTTGCTATCTTATCTCTTGCCGATCGGATTAAGCAATTAGTATGTAACGATAGGCCAACATCGCATAACGTAATCAGTGGTTCAGGTTAGATAAGACTTGACTTGTCTTGAGGAAAAAAAAAATTTTTTCCCAGCATCCCTAGATGGTCCAGCTATGCACACGTTAAAACCTTATCTACGCTTCTTACTGTCTGCCGAATAATATACTCGCGTTGCCTTAACGATTTCATTGAACACAGTCGATAAGTCCGTATTTGTTTAATAGACAAATACACAAGGAGACTGACAAAGCTGCGTAATACGAAATTCGCCAAGATAAAAAGAGAGAGAGACTATGCTTATCTAATGTATAGTCTATTTGCGTTGACTCTGGCAAATCTTTGGTTTTTTTAAAAATCGATTCGCACCGATTTCGCGAGTCTCTGCGAGCTTAGCTACAGGATTGCTTTTATTTTGAGAGCACGTGAAACCAAGATGAATAAATAGAATACAGGATTATTCGGTTCGAACGTACGTATCAAAATCAACGTATGCATTGCGATCAACTTGATCAAGTATCGTCTAGCAATACGTGCAATCGGAAGTAGTGCAAACTTTTCTTACGTTTCCCGCGAAAATTGCGCAAGTTCGCCAAAATACGTGATTCCCGTCGACAGTCTCGTCGGTGAAACGTTATTTATCGTGGATGGTTCGAATGCTGCGATTTTCCAAGTTTCCTATACCGCCCGTGAGTGCGAGTGAGATAGGCCTACGGGCGTTTGCGCGAGTGCGAGAGAGACGCGTATAGACGTCGCTCGATTTTATTATATACTCCCCCAGGAGCCTTTACCCTCTTTCTCGAATCGGCTATCTAATGGCCGCAATTTTAACTGTCCATAACTTTTTAATGGTTCGACGTATCGAGCCGATGCCTGTAGTACCTTCTTTTCTTTATTTAAAATTTGATCCGGAAATATGTACAGGAATTTATAAGAAAAAAGAAAATATATATTCATGTCGAGTCTATACCTCGAATACTTACAGTTGTTTTCCTTTAATCCCACTGACTCCTGTCATTTTCTGACCCAAATTATAGGCTATCTAAATGAAGCGTAAGCATCCAACTGACCTATACACTCGCGATCGCGCACGATCATTATCTCGATTGATCGTAATACGTAAGTCATCAGAAAGACACATAAGAATAATTAAAGTCTCTATTAAAGTAATTAACACGGGACGCCATTGTTATTGTCATCCTTAAAAAATTCTACTCTTCCACCAAGATTCAGAGAGGAGGTTCCGCGAACACGAAATTCAAATTGTTCCGCGTATACGATAATCGTGGATGCTCGCAGGACAATCGTCAGTCGCAGACGGTTGACGTCTACGAATTTTCTTTGAACGAAGGACGCCTATCACGGCCGAGAAAGCGTCCATTGACCGAGCATCCGTAAAAACGTACTAATCGACGTAGAAACAAGAAGCATTTTCACGAAGCACTCCGTTAAAGCTTTTTCACATTCGAATCACCATAAACCAGCCTTCACGATGTTATTGAGATAACTTTGCCGACGAGTTTCGCCGGAAACATTCTCGCCGCGACGGTGCACTGCAGCGCGCATGCGGCAAATTGAGTAACTATTCCCTCGTCCGTTACATTCGAACCATACTAGCTGCTGAGGATCTGTGCTTTTTGGCATTGAATAATGTAAGCATTGCGCCGACGCGTTCTGCCATTTTGTCGAGAAAAAATACACTTGCTAAACAATTAAAAAGTCGAACATTAATAATCGGACTGTAAAAAATATTGACGCACGTCCAACGACACAGTTTTGACATGTAATAAACAGTGATCGTAACGCATGGTGCTTCGATGAAGATCCGTTATCCATGTATGATAACGATGCTTGCTACACATGATTTTGTACCGTTGAGTTTATCGCAATGGTAATACTGGAATATTTAGTAGAACTGTGAATACGACTTTATCATATAACTTCGCTTATTGAATGCGTTTGGTATTGTCTGCGAATCAGAGTTGAACGATATCGATGAAGTGTGACGCCAATGCCAGGGAAAGTGAGTCATGTATCTCTGGGAAATGAGATGCCATTGTCTCCTGAGTCTGGTTTAAATTTGCATTGGGATTGACCCACGAGAGATGTTTATACTTCAATGCCGAAACGTTGATAAAACCGTAATCAAAATGTCGTCCAGCTTATTTCCACATGAGACGATAACGGGGACTAAAAAAAATGTTATATACAAGTAACGAATTTGGTAAGGAGACATTTTTGTGACACGCAACAATATGTTGTTTTTTTTCTTCCTTTTACCATAAGCAGAAATGTGGAAGCGAGAGAGAAAGTGGCTTCGGATAAAACCACATGCAACGTCGAAAAACGAGAGTCAATGGAAAAATGAAGTGACAATGTTAATCTGCTTGAAAATCATGGGAATTTAAACGTGAGAATTAGTTGCACAATAAAATGACACGTTAACTCGAGTCTTGCCAGTACGGTACTTTGGGTAGATATGAATTACGTAATTTTTGCGATTATTTTACCGGCAATAAACAAGTAGGTATTAAATACTCGACGAGAAATATGGTACGAATTATCATAATTTTTTACATTTCGATACGAAAATCGTCGACTTTGTTCTGGTAAGTTCTAGTCGTGTATTTTTTTTTTTTATAAATAGGAAAAAAAATTTTTCAACGGACGATAAGGAATTTAAATTTCATACTTTGCTACTTTCTTATACTTGGCAGACATATTTCTCAGATAAATTTTAATATCCTCCGTTGAACGTATAAGAGGCCATTACGTAACCGCACGCGTGCAACGCGTAACAATTCCTAATTTTTACCATGAATAACCTCCGCGCTTTCCCAACATCCAAGGAAATGCAAGAAAAAAGTTACAGGGATATACGATCTGCTGTAAAGATAAAATGGCCAATTATATTTAGGACACCTGGAACTCCCAATAAAAATGTATATACATATATAATGCACGAATATTCATATATGCATACACGTATAAAATCATAAAAGTGAGTATAAATATCGAGCTGTCAAAATAAGATAAAGAAATTTCGAAAAGTCCTCACAGATCAGATATTCCAATAATTATTCATACTCGCGATATAATAATCCATTTCTATTACCCTACAGCAATATCTATGGAGAATTTGAGTAAATCATCGAATTTCTTAATACGACAAACAAGGTAACGTCTATCGCTCTCAATTTATATTTATTGCTAAATAATCGTCAATGAACTAGATACGGATTGTATTTTACAAAATAGCGCGACACCTCGCACCCGAATTCTAAATTGCCTTGGTATGTAATAATGCGGAAAGAATAATCGATCGTGCGTAAAGTAATTCGTTTTTGCAATATAAGAATATTTAAAAAAAAAACCAACCTTTTCAGAGCTCAATGTCTACGAGCGATGTTGTAGAAATTGTATCAGAAACATTGTATCGGATAATTCTGCTGGCTCGAGTATAGCGTCTTATATCTATATCTCGATAGTAAAATTACATAATGCCATCTGAAGTAGAATCTCAAGCATTTTCACAAAGGCGTCCCACTAGAATCTGTAGCATCGTATATTCACCGACATTTTGCTCCTCGGCATTTCCCCCACTTGAAATTAACTGTTATTAAGCACGTGCAGAACCTTCGTGTATAGATATTAGAATTTCGTAACTCACGAGCAGAAAGGCAAATGGAATAATCCATAGACTTATTCGATTGAATTTAATAGAACTAAAATAAAAAATTACCATTGAAATGGCTCGATACGAAGCCGACATAACCTCTAAAATATATCAAGTCTTCGTGAAAGTCAGTAATTAATATTTGACAAAGTTATCTAAAATCTTTAATCGTCACTGTATCTACCTGACAAATTACTGGCAATTCGTCTGACACATTCCAGAATATAAACAATATGATAATCAGTAAGTGATCAGAGATACGTAAATTCGATCGATCTAAAAACGTCAAATAGCCGGTACGATTTCACGAAGATATAGCAATCTATAAATAATCCAACAACAGTACGAATCTATACGTTAAGGTAAAGCTAACCTATAAATTCTGAACAGGACTAAAAGCAGCTATCACACGAATAGAAGCGGAGTGACTATGTTCAACAGGTGATCCGACGTGGTACTTTATATATCATAGTATGAACGCACCTGCCAGTATCGGGTGCTCGGCTCTTCAATTCGTAGTACATGAAGTCTTGAGACGTGGAGAGCATCGAGAGTGCTTGCTCGAAGTCATTGTTATATTCAAGCTCAAAGTCCTCATTGGTAAGTGCAGCAAGATCGAATCCCATGTCAATCCCAGATTCATCCATCTTGTTAACCGCGTACAATAAAACCACTCACCACTGTTAATTTAAAAAAAAACTCTTCCACCAGCGGAATGATATTATAAATACCGGACACTGCTAGAGAGAATCTCAACCTTTCTCACTGTCGAACCGAAAAACAACTCCCAGTCCTCTGGTGTTGAGATGCCGCCAAACCGTGGAGAGTGGGAATGCCGGTGCTCTCCAAGAGTGGTACTTCTGTGAGTGGGGTCACCGACGAGAAACAGTCAGTCAGTCCGTTATTGGATAGTTAGTTAGAGTCAGTCAGTTAGAGACTGTGAAAAAGGACTTGTAATATACTTGATACGCTTTATAATATAAGATTCAATGATTACGTGTGTAATCTTGACGACTGGCACTCGCGATTCTTTAGCAGCTGGTATTACTACTTTTCTTGTAATAATCATCTTGACAGCGGAACGTAGGTGATGACTGTTTTCTCGTTATACATGTTGATCGTTGAATTTCTCACGTACGTGTTAACGTACTCTTGTTTAATGCTGTGGCCCATTAGTCGTAGACTGATTACTGATTTAATTAAAGAACCGACACGCACCCGATCGTACAGCAACTCTGTTACCTACGCGACTACCGAATTTACAATGACGCGCTACACCATCTGCCGACGATTTTGCGAACTTGTTACGATATGTCTTTATGTAACGCGGAGAATATATGTATCGTGTTTACTATAGACACTTGGGAGAGCTAAAACATGTTGTTTGTCTCAAGTAACTATACTATATTCTTGTATGCTCTTACGAGAGAGTTTATCCTTGTATTTATGCTTGTTCCTTCAGCCAGACTGTCGAAGATCTTCGCGCACTCTGGTGTCTGTCGGTGGAAACACTTTCTCAATTCGAGTATGATGTACTGGTTTTCTACTCGATAAATTGAACTTTAATTATTCATTATTCAATTGGAAGATGCGAGACACTCGTCGCGTAGAACAGTAGAAAAGATCATGCGAATTATCACGTATTGACTCTGCCTTCAATCAATAATTGACAAGTTTGGCATGCCTGTAAATTGAGTATTGATAGTTCATGATTTATTGAAGTGATTATTGAGACAATTGGTATCTTTTTTTAAATTATATGTCATATTGTTAATAATGTGTATAATATATTTTCATTATATAGCTCATAATTAATACTTCATTCTAATAGCTATGGCAAGTGTTGGTACGATGCCTATCTGAAACGTCACTATTATACTGTACGTCAGCAGCTGCTAATCATAACCAATGATTTTCGAGAGGAATAGACGTCTGCCCGTTCTCGTGGATCCAAGAAAAGATAATTGGAAACACAAACAGTTTCCCGATTACGTTGAAACTCGCAACATCTGTAGCCTCTGGATACGTGAGACGGTGACATGCTAACACAATGAACAAAGCCAAACATACAGTGAGGCCCTTGAGCACAGAAAATAATGTCATATTGATCGGCCAGACGATATTGATGAAAATAACTTAATATGACGAAGAAAAATGGCTGCGACCATGAACGATACCAAAGATCAGCAAGAACCTCAATTCCAAATTACGAAATTAGTTCGTCGGTATTCGCTGACACTGACGAAAATTTCAAACAGCACGGTTAATTAGATCATTAAGTCTTTCAGTCTTTCTTGCGACCTCACCACGGCAATAAGTCATCGTACAGGATCATGATCGTTTGTAAAGAAGGTATCTTACAATTTCTGAGCTTCTGCCTGGTGATTCTTTGTTCCCTCCGGAATGTTCACGGTACTGGATTACCACCTGAGATATCAGAAAAACTCAGTGATTATTGGCATCGTTACAAGGTAATACCAAGTAATAACTATTGTAAATTATATTGATCAGTTCATTATCAATAATATGATCATTCCTGTATATCGTTTACAGAGCATGTTCAACAAAACTTATACTGGTACTATGGAGTCCATAAGAAGAATGGCTTGGGAAGAGAATCTTCTTAAGATATATGAGCATAATTTATTGGCAGCTGCTGGACATTATACTTACACACTACGTGATAACCCATATGCTGATATGACAACGCGACAATACATTCGTGAAATGGTAAATGATCATTGGATATCGATGTCGGCGGATCTCTAAAAATTTTACGGTTGTAGGTGAAATTAATTCCAAGCCGACGGCGTAGACTTTCCGACGACCAGATGGTTTCTGCTGTTCTTCATGATCCAAGGCGAATCCCCAGGTATCTGGATTGGCGGGAACGCGGCTTTCGCACTGAGGAGGAAAATCAAAAGGATTGTGGAAGTTGCTATGCTTATTCTATAGCAGGAAGTATACAGGGACAAATTTACAAGAAAACCGGAATGCTCATTCCGCTTAGTGAGCAACAGCTTGTGGATTGTAGTATCAGTACTGGAAATCTTGGTTGCTCTGGAGGATCCTTGAGAAATACTTTAAGATACTTAGAAAAAGCAAAAGGTCTTATGGCCCAAACTAATTATCCTTACAAGGCTGAGGTAAGGATAAAAGGATTTCTATGACGATCACTTAAATAATTTTTTTTTTTTTTTTCTTATGAATAAATAAAGTCCTTGAATTTTTATTCGGACAATAATCGCTCTTGAATACACAAAAACGACCAATGGAAAGTTCCATTATGGAGAAACATTTTGTTAATTCAGATTTCAATTTCTAATACTTTCAGCAAGGACAGTGTCGATTTCAAGAGGACATGAGTGTCGTTAATATCACTTCCTGGGCCATCTTACCCTCTAGGGACGAACGTGCTTTGGAAGTAGCTGTGGCGACTATTGGACCAATAGCAACCTCCATTAATGCTAGTCCAAAAACTTTTCAACTCTATCAGTAAGTTTTCAGTACTTTCAGATTGATAAAAGAACAGTTTAAATTTATATTTATACTTCTTTCAACAGTAAAGGAGTTTATGACGACGTAGCATGCAGTTCGGATGTGGTCAACCACGCGATGCTAATTGTTGGCTATACGCCTACCGAGTGGATTTTGAAAAATTGGTGGGGCGACGGTTGGGGTGAAAATGGATACATGCGATTGGCAAAAAACAAAAATCGCTGTGGAGTTTCAAATTACGCTGCGTACGCTAAAGTTTAATTAATTAGGATATCTCGTAATGATGGATACTCATAACTCATAACAAACAGTCACTCCTTGCTAACATTTTGCAAATCATTTAAACTATGCCAATTCCAGTCAATTAAGATACGTTCCAGTTGTTACTCCTGATCTTCATTCCTCGACTATACCACGTATCCATATGATGAATGTACACATATGTGCCTACAGTCTTGTACTCAGTGACTAACCGTTATCAAAATTAATCGATTAGAATTTACACATAGTGCTAGAAGATAGATCGTGGAAATTTTCTTCAGATACAGCCAATAAAATTCTTTGGATATACAATACAATATTTATACACGTTATTTCATAATTGTTATTCTACAGCTTTGGATAGGTAGGCTCAGCATACATGCTGGAAATTGTATGAAATGTGGAAATTAATATGCGCAACTCTTTGTAGGTATACGTATGAAAATCTGCAAAATTACAGAATTGCACGCATTTAGGGCTTTACGTAAGGACGTGGAATCCACATTATATTCCCTATCTGCTGAGGCTGGTACTTGACATGTAATCAAACAGCATTGTTTTCTCAATGAAATGTTCTCTTGAAATATTAAAAAGCATATATATTCTCTATAATATACATGTATATACTAATACGTTATATAATATGTTAAATATTAAAAATTATATATAAATATCATTAACTTATGTTTTCCATCTTAAGAATTTTACTTTAATAAAACAGTCTTTCTTTTAATACCTTCCGTTTTTCTTGCCAAAGGCTTCTTAAACTTTTCTCCGTGTTAACACAGCTTATCCATCTTTATGCCAAGAGCCTTGAGTATTTCTTGGAGCTTCCACTAGACTTTGTTAAATACATTCGATGTCTACGCTGTTCGATAGGTATTTTTAACACTGCATTGTGCGAGTCGTTGTTTTCGGACTTTCTTTGCTTCGCGTAAAATGACAAATATTCTTTATAAAAAATATATCTAATATGTTTGACTGCTGTATCCATTACGACTGACAAATATTTTATTCCCTTATTTGCACGTATTAAATCAATAATTATTTTGTTTTGCTAGTAAACAAATGTTAAAAAATTGTCTGAATCATATTCGACCCGTTATAAAACGATTAATCCTATTCCTCGATGTGACGCAGTTCTTAAAGCAGAATTATTTACTTCTAAACATAAGATCTTTAACCCCGACAGTTCTCGGCCCTGTTCAAAATTAATATCAAATATAAAAAACAAAAAAAAAGAGTAAACGTAACATTAAAGAGGACGAAAACAGCACGAAGCACCAAGGTTAGACAAATTAATGTTCACAAAAATTGTCACTTTGAATTAACCATAAGTTATTAGCGTCGACTGGTCGCAGTAATCTACACATTGAGAATCACTAGAGTAATTAAACCAAAGAAACAAATCAACAAAACTGCCTCGTATCATGTTTAAATATAGAATTATTTTAAGTACCCACTCACAGTCCGATCAAATGTACCACCTGAAGTTAGCTGGCCTATTCGACTCGTGCAGTAGCGCCAACTTCAGTCGTTACATTCGTACTGCATTACATCTGATCGTAGCGCATGCTAAGAATATAAATATTACCCAAATATATTGTTACTATTCAAACATTTATATTTACGTGATAATTTCTAGTCGTAAAAATACTAGTAGCCGAATACGCGTGGTTCCCTAGTGTCCAAGAAGTTTGAAGATAAATACAAGTGGCTTGTGTGCCCATTATACAATTTTTGATTATACTATCTCAACGTTGCCGCGATACGCTACTTTGTGCGTAATTTAATTATTCTTAATGCTTGACTGCAAGATCCGCGCACGAGGAGGGTCGTCACATGCTATTCCATTACAAATAGTTACTTTTATCCAATTATTAAATGTTAAACACGTGCCATGTCATAATAGACCTTTGTTCTTTCACGCGGAACGGAAATATTTATTTGCATTTGGATATACTATTAAATCATTTGATTACGGCACCAGCATGGCCAATGAACGACGCGTGACGAAATCGCGAAAATTATTTCAATATACAGTACATACCACATGATTCAACGAATTAATATTGGTATGTTATGAAGATATTTATATTTTTGTTAATTGTTTATTAACATAATTGCTACGTATTCTTGCAAATGATTCTTCTTTTGTCATGGTGTCAAGGTAAAACGCAGCACGTACCAAATATTTTGTTACCATTAATTTTATAAATGGGACAATTGATAGATAATAGTGATTACGAAGCGGTTTGACCCTTTGGGCAATTTTTGATAACACTTCTTGGTACTTCCTGGAATAATATAATCGAATATAGCAACCTGATGTCACTGCAATCAAATTATTTATATAATTTTGTTTCTTCTTTAAATAAAACGTGAACAGTATGACGCGATTTTACCTGGAACGCATGAACTTTTTATGAGTAGATTAGATTTTCATTTTTCATCGTGCTATTAGGCTAATAATTATGGCTTTTAAAGGATTTTAGATTTATTATAAAAGTCATATAAAAAGGTAAGGTACCAAAAAAAATATCAAGAATCTGTAGCAATCCCAATTGAGAAAATGGCAGAAACTCGAATGATTCACGTGAAATATTCGCGTATACTATAAAATACTAATATTCTAAAAATATTTATTGCTTTTCGAGTATTCCATGATCGGTTGATTGATAACCTAAAATAAAGCCACTCGAATCAAACCGGATACGCTTATTCATATAAAAGTGACTCAAAGATTTCTAAAAAATGAATGTTAATTAACCAATCAGAACTGTTGCACAACGTCATCGGATTGCTACGTGTTCTTGTGCAATGATTCAAAGAATCGATACGCTTTGATACAAAGTTGAACTTCTTATAAGTCCACTGAAAACGTGACTGGATTTATTTTTACTAATTGCGAATTAAAGTAATATATATTTAATAGCAGATATATATATAAAACATAGATACGTAGAATTTAATTATAAATAATGATGTATCCAAATAAATAATGTGAAGTAGAGCAATGATCTAATGAGAATTTAGGGTTAATATCCCTCGATAAAAATGTCATCTGGTTTCTCAAATGATACTGCGTTCACGATAATAACACGATCAATAAATTATCTTGGAAGTCAAAAATACTGCTCCGATCACGCCTCGTTAACTATGAACGAAAATGATTTTTAATTAAAAGCCAAGAATCTCCGTATACGATAGCGGTATTCATCCACGCACGGTTATTTAGAATTGGCCAATTAGAAGGCGGCACGCCATGTGTTACAGGTTTTGTGTGTTTTCTATGTTGGTACTATTGCTTCTAGAATTAACTAGTACCTTTTGGCGCATAGCTACTCCCCCACCTTGCTGTGTGCAACTGGCGAACTACCATTAAACACACCAGCGCGAATGCACGGACAATCGTGAGTGCAAAAATTTTGCGACGATCGGCGTTAACAACATGTTTCAACGATAGCAGGAGTAAAACAAGTTAAGCGACTATTATTCAGAGTTTATCGGGAGCTTCGAAAATTGTCTGAAAATAAACTGTACTATCGGTTCGTTTCTATCAGGTAGAAAAACAATGTTACAAACAAGTGACGATTCGGTGAGTGGAAAACAAAGTGTCGAAAATACTTAGGCGGATTATGTGGCATGAAAAATAAAGGCGCGTACAAAAAGCGCGAATATTAAATCCATTATGGCTATTACGACTGAACGATACACGGAGGATTTGATAAGTGTCGTTTCACTCTAATGTATGGAATCAGCAAATCTAGGACAAAAAGATAATAGATAAAAAATCGCATGAGTTCATTGTACTTTCGTGCACGAATTCCCGGGAGTGCTGACTGAAATAAATAAAGAACTTAATATGAAACTGAATGCAGTGCAAATATAACATAACCTAAGAGTAATAATGTCTGTGGGATGAGAATGAACGTAGATATAACGACAGCATTATTGCATTTAAAAACGGTAGAATTCTACAGTTACGATCACATCTTTATTGTAGCGGAACCATTAATAAAATGTACGTCGCTCTTTGCGTAATAAAAAAACGTATAACACCTTCAAAGTGGTAAGTATCAACTTCGTTTACCATCAACCAGTGAAAAACTTTCTCCATTATTCTAGATCCATTAAATAGCTCAACCTCGACAATAAAACCACCCCATAATTACGGAGAGAATAACCCTTGAATTATTTCCTAGGGTGTTTAAGGCATAAGAAGCGGAGATAAGAAAGTGGTTCAAGTATATGTCTAATCGTCTAAAAGAATGTGTTATCATGATCAGCCTGAGTGAAGTATAAAGGCCACACGGCGTCATGGTGTCGTATAGTGGCGTAAGATTGAGGGAAGTTCGGGAGAGACTCATGACCATACGAAGAAGAGGTTAGTTACTCGAACTGAGCGTAACATGTCGATAGCGCGTGCTTCTTCATGCGATATCAACGTTCGTCGTCCAATCCGCGTTAGCCTCGGCACCAGGGCAAAGGGCACTCGTGTCCCGTCCACTACATCACTGGTCCATCTTCAGGAATCACCTTCAGTCTTCGTCATCGTCGACGCTAGGGACGGTCGATTTTTCGAAAACAGTGAAAGAAACAATAATTCATTTTAAAAAGGTGCTCGAGCAGAGTAGACAGTTGATCTGCAGCTGGAAGAGAATAGCAATTAGAAACATAAGAAAGAAGAAGAGAGAGAGGGGGAAAAAATCGGCAAAAAGCCGCCATTCTCTCGGTATGAAACGTGAAAATCGATCTGCATCTCCAAGGATCCTGTTGAGAATTTTTGAGGACACGCAGTAAATACGCATCTCATGTAAAGAGAGAACCGAGAATTAGTAATCCATAAATTGTGAGTGTTTCTGAAATTTCATGAAATCGTGATATTCGTACCGGAAATCGTCCCTTCCTTGCTCAAAGTTAAGGAGTTCAACGAGTCTAAAGGGAAAATTTCGAAAAAATGTTTATCAGGACGGCTTTGTTGATGCTTCTGATAATCAGCGTGGCCGGTAGCTGGTCACGGGCATCGGGTTCTTTGAAGAGTATATGGTCTACTCTGTATCCTGAGTCTTCTCGAGAACCTGTAGAGCAAAATTGCGCTGGTTGCGCACAAAATCGTGTTACATCGCATTACGATCCAATACTTACGGAATGGCGTGTGGAATATGTGAAGCAGCAAATACTGAAGAAATTACGGCTTTCGAAACCGCCTGAAGTCTCATTGTCGCTGTCCACTTTACCGAAGCCTTTAATAAATGGGCACGTGTTACAGCTACGTCCTGGTACACCATTGGCGCCGGAGAAACAAGTGGAAAGCTTCTATGGGAAAACAGACCAGATAGTTATATTTCCAAAACAAGGTATAAGAAACCATCAACGTTATACAACAGCCGTTTTTTCCCCGCATTCCTTAAAAGTGATGGGGAATGTATAATAAACGCACGATATGATCGATCGATCTGTAATTTTCACTTTACTATAATAATTGTTAAGTCAATTACAACGCGTTCTATTCGGTTCTGATGCGATCCCATCATTTGAAAATGTAGGGTGAAAACGACTAATAATGTGTATCGAAAATCAATCGCGTAGTTCGTAGCAAAGTTCATCTTCGTGTAAAGTTCATTTACGGATATGGGGATTGACACAAGGTCGTGTCCGTATGTGTACGACACGATTGACACATGTGATAAAAATCAAGTGCCATACATACCGGTGATAAATATTATCCCCATTGATTTTCCAAACGATTTATCAAGACGCGTGCAAGTGAAGTTGCACTTTTAGGCAGGACCATCAAGCGGAGCATGAGATAGTGTCTTGTTTTAGAACGACAATGATAACAATGTGTCAAGTATACGAGATACTCTGTCGATAAGGTAGCGTCACTCTTTACCGGCAAGGTAAAGCAATGTTATTCGACGATTGGTTCGCAATAGCGCCTATTTTGAAATCTGTACAAAGAACTTTACGCGACGTCCAGCATATCGTACGTTATACGAGCATTTGTTTCTGAGCTGCTACTGCTGTTACGAATTATTATAAGACAAGACGCGAAGTAAGGATTCTTTTGGAAAAGACGTAAATCTATTTCACAAGCCACAAATCTACTCGCTAATGTTTAATCAGTGTTTTACGGGAATGGCTGACGCAACTGTGTTAAAGTGCGGGCAAGTACTGTCGATAAAAGAGCTCTTAATAAAAAATCAGCTTCCACTACTGTCGCTATAATTTAATTAAGCTTGTTCACCCGTGCATCGTCCAGAGTCCGACGGATAAATTATCTTCGTATTAATCGCAGTCGCAATATTGAGCAGTAACGGAACATCAACTACGGCTCTCGTCTTTCGCCTCTCAGCTTACTTTACTCATTTCCACCATCATTGCGATGTTAATGCCGAACCAACGAAACATCAAGCTTTTCTTAGAATTCGAATTGCCAAATCTTAATCAACACTTCTATATCCGTAACACAGAGTACAATAAATAAAAAAATAAAATTTCAAATTATGATACCAGTTAGTGATAAATTTTTCTTCCAAGAAGATTATGACCGGGGTCATCACTTGAACCGGAAGTAACTGACTCCGTTTACACGAGTACCAATTAAAGTTTGTTTCTCAGGAATTTATAAAAATAAATTACGATATCATTGGATAACCTTAGCGAATTATCTTAATGGCTTACCCAAATCTTTTGTCAAATGATGACATAGAGTCATGAAAACTTATCGATATGCTTTCCCACAATCATTCCGTTAGAAGATTGAAAACAGTGTGACGTGACCGGCGAACCTATTGAAATATCTTGTATCCTCATTTATAATTAATTTCTATTATTAATTATATCAGGAAGAATCCTAACAGTATATCGCAAACAGCTGCTTCGTTTTTGTGATCTTGCTGCTTTCAATTAAGCGAATCGAGCCGGACGACCGATTCTCGTTGAATGTTTATGGAATGGCGAAGCACGAAGTTCAAAGAGTCCGGGGTCAATGTGGAGGGAGAAACACAAAGCGGGCTTGTGTCTGTAATATACAGTAGTCACACGCGCGTATATATATATATATAGATTCATACATTGTTGCATCAGTAGGGAAAGCTAGACACATGTCTATTGAATATAGAATATATACTCATGCAGAATAATAAGAAATATAGAACCTAATTAAGCATAAATATTTAAATTATTGTCAGATGTCAATAAAAATTTAATTAAAAAGTTTCTTAAAATTTTTGCAGAAATAAACGACCTGATGAATTGTCGACAAAACTCAAATCACTTGGCCGCTTTTAATCCAGCTGCCTGCTTCACTTTCAACTTACCAAACGAGATGAAATTCGTCGATGTGACCTCGGCTGAACTTTGGTTTTACAAGGAACTCGATGAGAATGACGTGTTCAATCAGACCTTCGTCCTCTCGGAATTGGATCACTGGGACCAGGGTGGAAGTTTCCAGAAGAATACTATAATTGCCATATTCGAGAGTACAGTAGGAGGTAATAGAGATGGATGATATATATTTTTTAGATATTAACGAAAAAATCAAAATGAAGTCGTTCACTCGTTCCTTGATATAATAGAGAAGCAATCGTTACAATAATTAAACCTATATGGCATTGGTTCGAGAGGTTACATATATAAGAATTTTAAGTAAGAAGAAAATAAGAATTATCAAAAAAAAATGCATATGGAGGAACGATTGCTTGTCTCTTGCAAACATACCCAATCTCTGGTCCGCCTGATGTAACCTTAACATTTATGTAGTATGAAATTTATCAGTAAATCAGTGAGTTAGTAAACCTTAGAAAGAGAGCAAAGTACAGTAGCACTCTCATTTTCAAAAGAATCAGTTAAATTCTATAATGACTATTTTCACTCTTGGTATCTCATCATTCAAAAAACAAATTACCGATTAACCCAAGGATATTCTCTTAAAAAATAATTTCACATTTAGCTTTAAGATATAGGCATACTGTATGCATACACTTATATAATTCTAGTCGAGTTCGCCGAACGTTTTAATAAACAGTAGTTATACAAAATAGAGGTAAGCACCCGTACTGGGAAGATTGTTAAATCACGCACGGAACAGAGTCCAATGATAAACAACAACCCCTTACATTCCACAAGCTGTTGTTTCTTCATTAAAATAAGTTATGATCTGGTTGCGGCCTGGTTTCAATCCTGCTAATGAATTGCCTTTGACTTTCCTATATTTTTTATTTTTTTTTATTGCTCCATTATCGTCGCAGATGTCATCTGCACGTTGTACAGCATGGAAACGTACTTGCAGCGTCGCCATGTCTCTCTGGAGAAATAATACCAGGATACTAAATGAACAACAGTGACAGTGGCTAAGCAAACTTGAATATAATGAAATATGTGTACGTTAGAAGCAAAAACATCCAGGAAACTCAACCAGAGTGAAATTGAAACCTGGTATAAAACCATCATCAGTTGATACAATTTGTCTGCTTCCAGGAGGCATATTTTTCCTATAATATACGCATACAGGATTGCCATGTAACATTATTTTATAGAAACTGATTGAAATTACCTAATCCAGAGATGCGATACTTCCTTAGTTTTATACTGTATTATAGAAATAATATATTATTTGCAGTAAACCAACAGACATAAGAATTTGCTGCTATGGATATTCAATTAGACTTTTGAAATTTCTGTTTACAGAAGGCTGGGTGAAGACCGACGTAAGCTTCACGGCCAGGAATTGGGTGGAGAATCATAAACTGAATCACGCCATACAAATTGCTTGTAGTAGCTGCTCCATCGATAGAGACACAGTACCAATATCCCTGGAACAGACGTTAAAACCGTTCCTAGTTATACATACGTCTCCATTGCCACAGAAAAATCGATCAAAACGCAACTCGAATTGTCTGCCTGCAATGAAGGAGTGCTGTCGTGACCAATTGTACATTAATTTTAAAGAAATTGGATGGAATGACTGGATTTTACATCCCAGTGGATACCATGCTTATTTCTGTCGAGGTTCTTGCTCTTCAGTTGCATCGATCACCATGAGTGCAACACCTTACAATAATGTTCTTACGGTGAGTTTACAATTCATAGCTAAGTCATTTCATTGTGTTTCTTATAGAGACAAAAAACGTTAATTTTCTTCATGCTCCATAGAGGTGGTTAACGATGATGGGAAACGCGACTGAGATGAAGAACAAAATAGTTCCATGCTGTTCACCAACTCAACTGTCGCCCATTCAATTACTTTACGTGGATTCGAATAATACAATAACACAAAAGACTCTGCCAAACATGATGGTCGAGGCTTGTGGTTGTATGTGAAGAGCATCTAAGTGAAATTGGGGTCCGGAGATACCCCGGAACGAGTAGCAGGACAACGTAGTGTAGCCAGAACTAAATAGCCAAAAAACATAAGGAAGGAACAGCATCCTCCAGTTAAACAGTGAAATCTTTTAATGGAAGGTTGAAGTTCTTGGGAAAGGAACGAATCGAATTATTATACAACGTTCATGACGTAGCTCGTTGTCAAAGTGGAAAGACAAAAACAAAAATGCATAATAATATATGAACTATTCTGGCTATTAACTGGCCGATCATTCGACTAAGTACCGTGAAATAGTTAGTGAATCTAGGAGAATTGTTTTCTCCTTGTCATTTCATTTCATTTCTCTGCACTTTAATAATTACGTTCGTTTCGAATTTACGATATGAGGTATTATTGCGCACAGTCACTCACATCCATATCAGTATTCGCCTGGAAGAACATTCCGTTCTAGCGTTTAATACGGACAATTATATTTAATAAGCTACATGACCGGCGGCACTTATAAGTCCGCATGATTTTATGCAATCTTTATTTATTATTAAGATATGATATGACATATAAATAGATATATATTGTATATGTCATGTCTATATCAAGAGTCTATGAAATCGACTCATGGATTTCTCTTGTATTTTTAACACTTTTATCTGTCAACATTTATTCGTAATGGGATTCATTATGTAGTGTAACTCTCATGACGTGACAAAATGACCGTAGAATAATTACGGTATTTATTGTTGACAGTTTTAGGTGGCAAGAAGATATTTAACTTATTAATTCCTTAATATTATTATCCCTTGTTTTATCGTGATTAAAATTGTTTTTTTTTAACAAACGGATTTTTAAGTTCCTACATTCTAATCGTTTGTATTTGCATTTCAAAATCTATGTAAAATTCATACTTGGAATATTAAGGGATTAATGTAATTTCAGCCATTATGATCAACGGACACGCTTGATGTACTTCCTTCGTTGTAAGGATTTTTGTTTTGTTTGAAATATACAAATCCACGGGACTACCAACCCGTGGTGGAATAATCGAAGATCTATTTTACCCAAATTTATTGTTTGTGAATTCAATCGGGAATTCTCACTGCTTTAGGCGATATAACATTTAAAGTTTATATTAACATCAGTTAATAAGATTTATTACACTTTAGACCTGGTCGACGATCCAACTCAAAAAAAGGAGCAAGAACCAACACTCGACCCTATTAAAGTAGAATAATGCTGGTCTGTGATACCCTATACAAAATTTGTCAATACTTTTGGACTGCGCATGAATTATGCGAATAATTTCTTAATATCAGTACAATTTTCTTTTTTGTAATATTAAAAATGATTACGTGTACACTACTCTTTCACGTTCTCCACAAATTACCAGAATATATGGCAGCTGGAATTCAAAGTCCATCGATTACTTTAATTAAACTTGAAGATTGTAATGGAGAAAATGAAAACGTGTGGTGCTGATAAACAGTAACCCCCCAAAAAAACCAATTACATGTAAAAAACTATGCCAAGTACAGGAGTACTGTGAATTCCCCTAACAAAAGGGATTGAAATTGTATTATTAATGCCAAGTACACAAGTCATTACATATTTGCTCATTATATGATCCAGCACTAGCCCATCATTTTAATTGTATTTTCAACATTTTCTATAACGTATTCGCTACTCTTTGATATTACTACTGCTTCTCATAGTTAATTATAATTCATTGGTAATTTAATAATTAATAAAACTTTAGGTGATTCTTAATCGAGTTGAGAACCCAATAGGACCTTTGGCAGGTCCATGTCAGGAATTCCAAAGTACTTACTTTGAATGTACTAATAGTATTCCAAGACTATATGTTTCTTATTAGGCTTTTACCGTGGTTATTTTTGACGAGTTATTCCTAATGTGCTCTATACAGAAAGTTGACGTTCGTTTTGAGTTTGAAGACTGGCATAATGAACGCAAATTTATATCAAGTAATGCACGCACGGTGATACCACTGATATCCATATTAGAGAGGATATAAAAGTTCATAAGTGGCCCGATTGTTGAATTATATCAATAAATGCATACATTAACACTTACAATTAGAAAGCAGGAACTACGGTGGGTATTGGAAGTGCTGAAAATTGTAAAATTTTTCGGAGCGTAGAATTGCTGCGTGGAACCGCGCGGCAGGGAAGAGAGGCGGGCACTTACGGGAGTGCTTAGGCTTAGAGCGCTCATTCGCCCACGAGTCGGTCGCCTATGCCGGTGTCTTGGGCCGTCCCGTCTTATCCATTTGTATCCTTTTCTTTTACATTTATTTCTTGTTTACTCCTATACTCGTAATCCGTACACTGCTATTTTTATTTTATTTTCCTTTTTATTCTTTAACTTATTCTTTAATTTCCTTATTTCTTTCTTTCTTCTTTCGGTTCTGTTCTCGTCCACCTTCCATTGTGCTTGTCTTGTTTTTCTTATTTCTTTAGCATATAATAAACTTGTGCATATAAGTGTCCAGCTTGTTGAAGCCGTGTGGTAAGAGTGAGAGGAGAATGTGCAGGATTCTTTATGTACGTCAGGCCGTGCGAGAAACAGTTGTGTTCCTTTTGGCAGAGCATTAATGCGAACGAGTCGGCAATATGTTACATAAGGTACATGACTTGCTTGGTCGCCTTGGCTGTATCGCCGGTTGCCAGTACTTGGCGCGAGACTCGACCGAGACTCTTGATATTTGTCTTCTTCGATCATTGGGCGAACACAAAGTATTAAATGGAGCTCCGTTTCTCAAATTTTCAAAATTACATTTTACTACACATAATTGCAATCATATCGATACACTTATACATATTTATTGAAAATTCATTATTTGGAAAGGCCAATGATACTCTTTACTTAAAAGTGAATGTTGCCATCTGTAGGATAATTGTCCAAGATAGATTGTCCACGAAACATTTGTAGGTAATGAATCGCTCGTCGATAATCTTTATCTATCCAGAGGAATATTGAATTATGCAGCATCAGTAGATACTGTGATAAAACCAGTGGCTAGGTGGCTGTCATTTGGCTCTGGATGTGAGCAGAGATGAGTAGGGAGATGCACAACGCTACGGTTTTAGACGATACTAAAAACATGGCGCTAAATCGTAGCGGCGAGTCCAGGAGTAGGATTTTGTGATCATCGCCTCCGTCGATAATGCATGTCCTGTCGTAGCCGAGCTGAACGTGATCACGAACGTATAGCTTCGTGGGCATGGGTTCCCCGCATCTTACCGCTGGTTCCCAGAGCAACCCTTAGAACGCGGCCGCTCACCAGATATTGCCAAAATATTTTTTTTTGTAATCTTAAATTCGAGTGCACAGTGTAAGCTCGATAAGATTTAATAAAACAAAAGCCAGCACCTGATGCCTGCTTGCGTTAAGGAGTGCAGCGATGCGGTGCTAGATTCCAGCATTATTTAACAATAGTTCCAGGCGGAACTATGGTCCCAACATTGACAACTAGAGAGAACTATTCCGGAACTGTTTGAAACACAACCTGAAAACAACACTGAAAGCCAGCTTCTTATACATACCTGCACCGAAGCATATGGTGCGACTAGTATCCTTAATAGGTATTTTAACGATGTTACGTAGCAGAACTATTGTTAAAACCTATCAGGAACTATAACACTCCTCGAGAACTATTGAAGAAGCTTATTGTTGAATATTTTTTAAGAGATTTTAGAAAAGTGCGGTGCTGGAGCTGACACCCGTGTAGCACCTCAATTTTTGAACAATGTTTCAACAATAAGGTTTTTCAAGAGTTCTAGAGGAGTTCTATAGTTCCTGATAGGTTTTAACAATAGTTCTGCTACGTAATACCATTAAAATACGTACTTTCCAAAAATTGAGGTGGCAGTCGTGGTCAATTTCTATTAACTAAAATACCATCAGGGCCACTGGGACGTTAATTAAGCTCATAGCAGTCTCCTGAGCTTATTCCTACCCTTATCTGTCTTTTCCTTATTAATTATTATTGTTTCCATAAATTCACTTTATTACTTAACATTTATATAAAATACTTAACGCAATACACTACACACAATTATTCTAGATGTACTTACACGCTGGTACATAGGTAAGCTTTGTGACGTGATTTTTCGATTCACGGTCACAAAGCGACTCCGGCTACCGATACAGATAACGTTCTCGCTTTCTGGTTCCCTTCGAGTCACCACCCTGCTGAGAAGCTATGCTCCCGGGTTGATTCGTATAGGTATGCCAACGCTCTCGTAAGATTTCGTTATTGTTTAGTTGACGTCCAGGTGCTCGAATCTGCCGTGGGGAGATAGTCTTGACGTAGCGAGTTGCCCGGTTGAGGAGAGTACCCGACGGAGACGTCTCCACTGACCGGCAGAAGCTCGGG